CTTTCCTAAACTGTGGGACATGATGACTTGTACCCTCAGCTCAAACTGATATTGTGTTGAGTCAAATGCGGACAACAGACAGGGTCAATTCCTGGGAGCCCTGGACATCTGCACTCAGTGCTTCTGCGTTGGTTCTCTTGTCACTGTGACCGAATAGCTGACAAGAAGCCACTCAAGGGAGAGAGGACTTTTACTCACAGTTCCAAAGTACAGAGGGAAGGCAAGGGGTGGGGCAGCTTGCAGTTGTAAGGAAGGAGCTTAAGGCTTCTTGTTTACATTTCCATGGATCAGGAAGCAGAGAACAGGATTTGCTGGAACTCATCTAGGGTTCTCCTTTCTCCCTTTTTATTAAGTCAGAGAGCCCAGCTCAGGGCATGGTACCATCCATTTTCAGGGCCAGTTTTTCCTCCTTAATCTTAGGAAACACCCTCACAGAAATCCCCAAAGATATGATATGACTCACTAATGCCCTAAGGGGCACATCTTTCTCCCTTTCTCCTCTCCCTCCCCTCCCTCTTTCTTCTTCTTCTTCTTCTTCTTCTTCTTCTTCTTCTTCTTCTTCTTCTTCTTCTTCTTCTTCTTCTTCTTCTTCCTCTTCCTCTTCCTCTTCCTCTTCCTCTTCCTCTTCCTCTTCCTCTTCCTCTTCTCTCTCTCTCTCTCTCTCTCTCTCTCTCTCTCTCTCTCTCTCTCTCTCAGAATCATGTTAAGCAGTCCTGGCTGGCCTAGACTTTACCATGTAGATCAGGCTGATCTCAGTGAAATCCACCTCTCTCTGCCTCTCAAGTGCTGGGATTACAGGAACTTGCCTCCCTCCATGTTCAGCAAAGGAGCATTTTTCTTTCTTTTTAACTTTTATTGATTCTTTGTAGATTTTCATATCATGTATTCTATTTCCACCTATCTGCCTGTCTCCTCGCATCCACCCTCTGCCCTTGAACCCCCTCCAAAGAAAAACGAAACCAAATTTAAAAGAAAAACCCAAAATCAAGCAAAACAAGGAAACAAAAACAACAAAAAAGATTTGTCTCTTGTTGTGGAAGCTGTAGTGTGGCCTGGGGAGACACACCGTTTACCCTTTAGCCTGGTCTTTACTTGCAAGTGTTCAGTACCACGAGTCATTGGCCTGGCTCGAGACCTCTGGTGTCTGCCACACCACCAATGATGTGCTCTCACCGCTTGGATATCCTTTTGTTGTCCTGTGTCATAGAGATTCTGCTGCATTTCTTACTCCTACTCAATTGGCAATGTAAGCATCAAAACCCCATCAACAAAGGCAACTCAATAGCAAGGTGTTGAGTATTCCAGGCAAACGAAAAGCTGAAGACAGAAGAATGCATTATATTCAAGAAGTAACCTGAATATGAATATTTCCATGGAATTAGTAAACAAGGAAGACCGATGATATTGAGGTGTAGGCCAGTTTTTCCCGGACACACAGTCACCAAGGGAATGAGCGTCCCGTGGGAAGCAGTGGGTGGAGTCAAAGGAGGCATTTTGTTTTCACAGAGTAACTTTAGAGGACTAGACAGCTGTGAAAGAGCACTGGTAATTCTTCCAGAAGACTCATGTTAGACTCCCAGCACCCACAGGGGCTCACAGCCATTTGTAACTCCATTCCTTGGTGATCTGACGTCCTCTTCTGGCCTCCATAGGCACCAGTCACAAATACAGTGCACAGACATATATGCAGGCAAACATCCATGCACATATAGTAAAAAAATAAAAAGAACAATGTTAGAATGTATCTGAATGTTCTTGAAAATTGTTTAATAGAAATGGATATGTTGCCAGGTGGTGGGGGCGCACACCTTTAATCCCAGCACTCGGGAGGCACAGGCAGGCAGATCTCTGTGAGTTTGAGGGCAACTTCCTCTTCAAGAGCTAGTTCTAGGACAGGCTCCAAAGCTACAGAGAAACCCTGTCTCAACGCCCTGCACCAAAAGAAAAAAAAAGAAAAGAAATGGACATGTTAATACTGCAATGAACAGAAATGAGTCCAAATCTCTAGCCTAATCTTCAATTGAGCAGAATAGCCTACAAACTTTCCACAGGAAAAGTGGGAGGCCAGGATGGATTTGGGCAGCCCTATAGTTTGGTAATAGCAGACTTTTGGTTTCCAATAGAAGACCTAACTAAAGGGGTCTGAGAAGTAATGAAGCAGCCACTTTTAAAAGTGGGAAAGAGCTTCCTAAAGAAACCACACAATTCCTTGGGAGTGTGCAGTGCTCATCTTAAGTTTGTGACCAAAGGGAAGTGTCAGTGGGGGTGGCAGGTGCTGGAGAGACAGCTCAGCAGTCAGGAGCATTGTTGCTCTTCCAGAGGACCCAGGTTCAATTCCCAGCACCACATGGTAGCTGACAACCATCTGTAACTCCAGTCCCAGGGGATCTGATGCCCTCTTTTGACCTCCAAAGACACTGCATGGGTGCGGTACTCATTCAGGAAAACATTCACACATGGAATAAAAATAATAAACATTTCAAAAATATTAAAACAAAACAAAAAGCATTCAAAAAGAATCCAGTCAGCCATGCTGGTGATGTTTCTTCAACAGCAGGGAGGAGATGTTCTTTCTAGCTTCAACCAGGTCAGCTTCCTTCAGGGGGGTGAATGAGAAAAATATATATTTTTTCCTATCAAAGGTAACTAATGCTCACTAAGGGCCAGAATCTCCTGCACCCCCTAAAACTGTTATGTAAAGAAATCAAATCCTGGGCTGGAGAGATGGCTCAGAGGTTAAGAGCACTGATTGTTCTTCCAGAGGTCCTGAGTTCAATTCCCAGCAACCACATGGTGGCTCACAGCCATCTGTAATGAGATCTGGTGCCCTCTTCTGGCCAACAAGCATACAGACAGACAGAACATTGTAATCATAATAAATAAATATTAAAAAAAAGAAATCAAATCCTTACTCCCCCTACCTCGTAAAAATTGTCCTTACAGAAAGCCCCCACCCTCCTCCAATTCCCCAACTTTATGATGTGTAGCAGTCAACACCGTACCTTCTTCCTTCATTTCCTTCGGGCTGGTTCATTTAAAAGCTAGCCAATCAGGAAGGACTATGAAGTGACCCCAGGCAGCAGAAAAAAGACAGCCACCACCCCTTTCAGGATGAAAACAAAGCAAACTCCCTGCCTTAGTGTGCTTGCTGTCCTGGTTAATTTAATTTTTACAGAAATGAATTGCCTCGCCGAGCTACTTTTGCTGTTTGTGTGTTTCTTTGTGCAACATGTAGAATGTTTGTTTTTAACAGCATCTTCCTCCGAGAGAGCTGGAGACAGAAAGGAGCCTTTGTCCGTATCAAAGTGTGATGAGATGACTCAGCAAGGAAGTGCTGAGTGTGAGCATAAAGGAGATCCACAGGGCACGGCCTGCAGCAGTGGCGTGTTGAAGGGCAGGGCAGGGTCTGGACGGGGCTGGGATGCTGTGAAGTCCTGGAAGAGCTTTGGACCATTTTATTTGGCTACAAATGGAACTTAAGTACAACTCACAGAAATGAAGACATGAGCTGGGGAGATGGCTCAGTGGGTAAAGGTGTGTGTGCCTAGTCTGCTGACCCGAGTTCCAGACTCAGGATCCCAACAGTAAGGGAAAACAGACTGACTCCCTTAAGTTGTCTTCTGACATCTACATGTAGTCCTTGATACCTGCAGCCATATACGTATACAAAATAAGTAAGTAAAGTATTTTCAGGTGTAATTTTATCATTAAAAAATTACTTATGTCTGAATACACGAATGCAAAGGCCAGAGACATGGATCCCAGGCCCTAGTAATACTTAAAGAAAAAAAAAAGGTAGCAAGCCAGGCGGTGGTGGCATGCACCTTTAATCCCAACACTTGGGAGGCAGAGTAAGATGGATCTCTGTGAGTTAGAGGCCAGTCTAGGCTACAGAGCAAGTTCCAGGAGAGGCTCCAAAGCTACACGGAGAAACCCTGTCTAGAAAAACCAAAACCAACAGGCTCCCTCACCCCCCGCAAAAAAAAAAAAAAAAAAAAAAGAAAAAAAAAAAAAAAAAGAAAAAAAAAGAAAAAGCAAAGACTGGTAGGGTAAGAAACATGCACCTGTAATCTGTAAACGGCAGGCAGATCTTAAGTTTGAGGCCAGCCTGCACACATAGCAATATCTCATCTGAAAGAAACAAACACAAAGGGACCCAAGAGTCAGCTGAGGATGTAGCTCAAGCGCTTTACTCGTATGCACAAAAACGCTGGGTTCCACCTCTACCACTGCACAAACCGGATATGGTGGCACATGCCTGTAACCCCAGCGCAGGGGAGATGAAGGCAGGAGGATTAGAATGTCAAAGCCATCCTGAAAGTCAGTCTGGGCTATATAAACTCATGTCTCAAATAAAAATAAGTAATAAAAATTTCAAAAGGGCCAAGGAGATGGCTCAGTGGGTGAAAGGGCTCGCTGTGCAAGTCTGAGGATGGGAGTTCCATCCCTGGAACCCATGTGGAAGGCGCTGTCCTCTGACTTCCACACGGGCACCATTGGCACGTGTGCACGCACACATGATATACAACACACACAAAACAAAAATAGAAAACGGAGCACATTTAAAGGCCGTGTCTGAGTTACCACGAGAAATAGCTAAGGAGATAAAAGAAGGAAAATCATAAAGGGAAGTTAGAAACATGGAGTACGGCAGGGTATTTTAGACAATGGCTACCTTTCCAGAGTCAAAGAAGAGGTAAAGCTCAGGCTCGGAAACACCCGCAGGGTTAGAACTAGTAAAGTCACGCCACACCCACACCAGGACACACCTGAGGTGACCCAGACCGCCCGAAGTGGGCGGGTACAGGTGAGAGCAAAGCGACGGGCTAGTGCGGCACTGGGGGCGGGGCCTCCGACAGAGGCGAGGCTCGCCCTTGGCTCCCGAGGGGCTGCGCGGTGGCGCAGGCGCACTGCAGCATCGCGGGCGGCGCCCCCTGGCGGCGGCAGCGTCCTCGCGGGGGCGGAGCCGGAGGCGGGGGGTTGCGCTTGGTGACGGGGGACGCGCGGCCGCAGCGCACTGGACCAGCGGCAGAGACCCAGGACGTGGAGCGCAGACTGCGGCGGCGGCGGCGGCCGGGAGCCGCTGGGAGCTGGGGCGCAGCGTGCGGTCTGTGATGAGGGGCTGCGGCGGCGCGCCGGGCGCAGGGCCGGCTGGTGAGAGCGCGGGAGGTGGGCGGCGCGGGCCGGGAAGATGGCGGAGAGGCCTCGCTGCGGCCCCACGGCCTGGCCCGGGCGGAGGCCCCCAGTACGGTCGTGCTAGGAATTGGGGCCCCAGGTGACCCGGTCGGGGAGGGTCCGCGCGAGGGCGCCGCCGCCGAGGGCCAGGAAGTGTGAAGGCGGGTTTGCGTGAGAGAACCGACCGGAGGGTGGGTGTGAGAGTGCAATGGTCTGCACGCGTGCCCGGCCTTTGGATGGGTGTGAGTGTGTGTCCCTGCCCAAGATAGTTGCTCTTTGCTTGAGGTGGCTGGGATTGTGATGGCCCTGAAGGTGGCTGTGAGGTGTGAGGGTGGCTGGCCTGCAGACAGGTGTGTGGAGGCAGCCCGAGGACAGGTGTGCGTTCTGTGGCCAGGCCCCGAGCCGGTGTGCACGTTCCTGTCCTTCCTGCGCGCTGGGCTCCGTCCGTTTGCTCTATGTAGTCTGGGTGGTGAGCGATGGTGCTTGCAGGGCGAGGATCTTGCGGGCCAGGCTTTGTCCGCAAAGCCCGGGAGTCGGTGGGCGTCTCTGGGTCGGGTCATGGCTTGCTTGCGCGTGGTGCGCCCTGGCTTCACGACTGGGCCTCTGCGGCAGGCTCGGGTGGACCTTTACCCGGCCTTTCAGTCTTGCAACTCCCTGGGCGCCTGCTGTTAGCAGGCGTGGGGTGGGTGGGGGCTGCGAGCCGGCAGGCTGTGCGTCCCGGCCAGGCTGTCTTTATTTTAAAACGTGCTGCCCGCTTCGGGCGCGGCAGCTGTGGGTGTGTTCCATGCTGCTGCTCACCGCAGCTGCTGTGGGCGCTACGCAACCTTCAGCCGCAAAAATGCGGCTGGGCCCCCTCCCCCTTCAGTGTTGTTCGGGTTGGCCAGGCCTCCAGTGACCTCTGCAGAAAAACGTACAGTTGCGAGGCTTCAGTTCCTCCCGTGGTGCAGACAATACGGACGTTTGTCTCTGGGAGCTAGGGAGGGCAATTGAGCACTGCGTCCTGGGCGCAGTCTGTAAACAGCAGGTGGTTTTGTCCACGGCTCTCCCTTTTACAACGAACGAGGGGGATGGGGATTAGAAAGAGGAGAGGTGTGACTGGATCGTCAGGAGAGCCAGTCTTTAAGGGATTCAGACTGCCTAGGAGGAAGTGTAGAGGTGGCTCCTTCCAGCTTGTGGTCTAATCAGCTGTCTTGCCAGAGGCTGGAGCAGAGTGAAAATGAGTGCTGGTTCTGGAGCCAGACTGACCGCCCTTGAGTCATGACTCCTCCTTTACTGGCTTTGTGGTAATAGGTAAGGTCTCTTTGCCTTTGGTTTCTTGACTGTAAAATGGGTACACTAATAGTACTGGTCTCACAATGCTGTTGTGAGGACTCTGTGACTTAAGACTTGTAAAATTTTCACACCTGGAAGTTTGAGTGTCTGTCAGGAGCCGTTCTTGCTACTAAGTTGCAGGCTGTCAGGGTTAGGTGTGGGTTGGATTGGGTGCTACAGAGTGCGTAAGCTGAAACATTTTTTTTGTTTTTTAAATTTTGATTTAGACAGGGTTTTGCTGTGTAGCTCAGGCAGGTTCCAAACTCATGATCTTGTCTGGCAAGCATTGCCATGCTTGACTTAAAACATCTTAATTGTCTTAGTTGTGTGTGTGTGTGTGTGTGTGTGCGCGCGCGCACGCGCGTGCATGCACCAACGCTGGCATATAAAGGTCAAAGGGTAACTTTTAGGAGTTGTTTCTCACCACCTACCATATGGTTTCCAGGGACTGAACTGAGATCAGAGTGCCTTTTCACACTGAGCCGTCTAGCTGGCTGGAAGCAAATTGTTGTAAGGGTAAAACAACTTATTTCATACACTTAGATAAATTGCATAGAATTTTTTAAAAAGTATTTTTGGAAAGCAAGCAAGCATCTTGTGAACTACCATAGACTACCACAGTACTAGACTGGGATAGATGAGATGGTGTTGCCAGAAAAAAAAGGTGTATGCAGTTCCTGGGTATTGTGAGTCAGGCCCACAGGGCCATTGTGTACTTAACAGTGTTGCCTTTAAGAGAGGTAATTTTATTAAAAATGAACTTTGACACTGAAGATGTCAGTCACAGAGTGAGAGCTTGGCGTCACTTGCACAGTACGTGCCTTGGTGGGTGGGTGAGTTATTGGAAGACAAGACAGGTTGTGAAACAAAGTGAGGGAGATTACCACGTTTCCCAAGGATCTCCTTATCACTTTCCCCTCTTTATCTCAGATTTACTTTGTGTGTGTGTTTTTAGACAGTTTCCCTCTGTAGCCTTGGCTATCCTAGAACTAGCTAGGTAGACCAGGCTGGCCTCACACTCACAGAAATACATCTGCCTTTGCCTCCTGAGTGCTGAGATTAAAGGCGTGCGCCACCACTGCCCAGCAGATTTATTCTTGAAAATGGTAAAATTTTAGTTATACTCTGATAGAAAAATGAAATAAAGGCTTGAGATTTGAGGCACTGACAGTGAGGATGTTTGATTTTTTTAGAATAGAGTGTCCAGCATTTGGGAGAGGAAAGTAGGAGGCCAACCTGGGTTATAGGAACCACTTGAGTTATATGAGACCATCTCTTTAAACAAAAGAAAAAAGGTAGTCCCGTTTCATTCTGGCCTCTGCCATATGTGTTCTGGGGCAAAGGTCATGGATTAGGAGTTACACAGAATGCCACAGTGCCACAAAGCATTGCTCATTGACGTAGACTGGATGTGCATCCATGCGCATGCAGGGACAGACTGTCTTAGCTACCAACTCAGGAGGCCTTTTTCCATTGTTTCCTTTCTTGCCTCCCCAGATAAAATTTTTACCCTTTCAGGATAATGGTGGCACACACCATTAATTCCAGCACTGGGGAGTGGGGGTAGAGGGCAGAGACAGATTGATCTCTGTAAATTTGAGGGCAGCTTGATCTATAAAACAAGTTACAGGACAGCCAGGGCTGTTCCATAGAGAAACCTTGTCTTGGAAAACCAAAGGGAGGAAAAAAGAGAGAGAGAAAGAAAAAAATAAATCAAAAATAAATCTCTGTTCTTAGTATTGATCTCTCTGAGGTTCCTATGCCACCTGGTTCCTTCTCTCACTGACCCTTAAGTTACTCCCAACTTTATGTCCCTGTGCCCTGTGATGAATCTGACCTGGGTTTTGTCCTTGGGCAGCTTTTGTCATCCTGCTGGGAAGTTTTTCCTCACCTGGCTTGTAGCACTGCCCGTGTCTGCTTCTACAGCAATCAAGACCTGAAACCCTGTGGCTGACAGTTACGGGATGTGCCTTCTTGAGCTCAAGCAGGTCAGCTGTGCCCACTGTTCTGTCCATCTCTGAAGTGTGATACTGACATAGGTGACCTTTATTGTCATCTGTTGTGAGTTATGGTGATGCGAATTGCTCTCCTGTGTCTATTGTCTTGTGATGAATCCATACTAATCTTTTTGCAGTATATGTACTAAGAAGATCCTGGCATCATCTGTTTTGTTCCTGTGTGTGTTGTTTTTGATTCAGTGTTTGGTACAGCTTTTTTTTTTTTTTTATAAAGTTTTTGGTGGCAAAATCATAATAGCATTAGAAATATTTTCCAATATTCCATATAAGTATTCCCCAAGCATTGCTTTAAATTGAGCAACTAATCTATGTTACTTGTTACATATGTAACAAGTACTTGTTACTATGTTACTTGTACATGCATCTTAGTGCTACAAACATGGAGGTTGGAAGGGAGGTAGGCCAGACATAGGTTGAGGATGTGGCTCAGTTGTAGAGTGTTGGCCTAGTATAAACAAAGCCTGAGGTTTGATTCCCTAACATCCCATAAAACCAGGTGTGGTGGCACACGCCTGTAATCTCAGCACTTCTGGGAGCTGGAGGCAGGTGGGTCAGAAGTTCAAGGTTATTCAATGTTACCTGACAAATTTGAGGCCAGATTGGGTTATATGATACACCGTGTCAAGTAAAGAAAAGAAATAAGCCAGCAGTGGTGGTGCAGGCCTTTAATCCCAGCAGAAGCAGGCTGATCTCTGAGTTTGAGGCCAGTCTGATTTGCAGAGTGAGTTCCAGGACTGCACAGAGAAACCCTGTCTTGAAAAAACCTCCATCCTCCTGCCCAATAAAAGAGAGAGAAAGAGAAAGAGGGCCAGAGATGGCTTGACTTTAAGGCGTCTGCCACCAAACCTGATGACCTGAGTTTATCCCTGCTTCCACCTGGTAGAAGGCGAAAAATGACGCGGCAAAGTTGTCCTCATATTAACATGCATGTGGTGGGATGCACATTCACATGTGGACATACATGAGCGAACAAACAATAAAGAAAAGCAGACCAGGTGTAAAGTCACTTGTCTGGATGATGCAGTGCTTATGACCAGAGCTCAATCCTTGGAGCCCACATAAAGGTAGGAGAGACTCAACTCTAGAAAGTTGCCCTCTGACTACTAATGCCAAGGTTTGCATATCTCTTTCTCCCCCTTCCCCCCCTCACATACACACAAAAATAATAGAAAATAAATAAAATTTTAAGACTGGGGGGTTGGATGGCTCAGTGGTTAAGAGCACTGGCTGCTCTTCCAGAGGCCGGAGGACTTGTGTTTAATTCCAAGCACCCACGTGGCAGCTCACAACTGTCTCTAACTCTAGTTCCAGGGGATTTGGCACCCTTATGCCAATGCACATAAAATAAAGCTAAATAAATTAAAAAACAATTTAAGACTGGGGCGATGGCTCAGGGGGTAAAAGTGCTGCTACCAAGCTTGATGATCTAAGTTCACTTTCCAGGACTCACACAGTGGGAAGAGAGAACTGACTCCCAGAAGATGTCCTCTGATTTCCACATGGGTGCCTTGGCATGCACATGCCCACACGTGCATATATAAAATAAATCATGTGTGTGTGTGTGTGTGTGTGTGTGTGTGTGTGTGTGTGTGGTTAGAGACAGGGTTTCTCTGTGTTAGCACTGGCCGTCCTGGAACTCACTCTGTAGAC